CAGCCGTCAGCAGTGGTGGGGAGGAGCTCGGCTGCGTCAAGCTGGCCTTCTCCCTGCAGTCCCAGTGAGGGGGGACTGTCCCTCCTCTCCCCACCACCTTGGTCCCCTGTCCCATCCCATCCAGTTGCACCGCTTCCCCAACCTGTCCCTGCGAGCTGCATCCTCCCGCTGCCAGGAGGAGGCAGCCCCTGTACCCCGGCTCAGTGCCCCCCTCCCCTGCTAAATACAGAAGGGCCCCTCCAGCTGTCCTGCTGTTCCCAACCCCATCACCAGGATGTCCCCTGCCCCAGACAGAGTGGCCATGGAGCTAACCCAAGCCTTTCAGTGCAGCCTGGGGGTAGTTATTTTTTTACCTATTTTCTCTTTTTTTTTTTTCTTAATCCCATCCAGGGAATTTTAGACAAAAACATTCCAGGGAAAAGCAGTATTTCTTGGAGCAATCCATGGGGCGAGGGAGCGTTTGGGAGTGCTGGGGCAGGCTGAAGGGATGCAGGATTAGCTGCGGAGGGTGTCCCGACTTGCCCCCACCACCTCCAGCTGGAGCACAGGGCTGTTTTGCAGAAATGTCCCCAAAGTGGCTGCCGGAGACCTGTCCCCCCGTGGCAGCTCTGGGTCTGCCTTTGGAACATCCCTGTCCTACGCGTGGGGCCAGCTTGGTGACACGAGGCACCGGTGAGGGCACCTCCCTGTGTCCCTGCTGCGACAAACATCACAAGCACAACAGGACTGAAACTGCCCAAACCCCCGACTGACGTTCCCACTTACGAAGGACCAAGCGGCTGGTGCTGCTCCTAGCAGGAGGAGAGGTGGCCGAACACCGGTTGCGCTCGCTCTGGGGGGACACACAGCTGTGATGAGCAGCTGGGGCACAGTCTGGCCGAGGACAAGTCCCACTCATCTCATTTTGCCACTGGGACTGAGCTGAGGCAGGACGCTGCACTGGGACCATCCTTCCCATGCACCGACAGAGGCACCCCCACCATGTGGAGCAGCATCCCGGACATTATATGGACTGTGAGATGACCATGAAGACCAGCAGCCTGGATTCTATGTGGAGGCCCTGCAGTCCGTCTCCTGGTCATGGCTGCGGGCTAAGGCGTGGGCAGGCAGCATCCTTCCTGCCTGCTGCTCCAGGCAGGGCATATGTCTGTCACCACCCGCCTATGCCAGGTCCTCGCAGGGTGCAGGTGACCCACCAGCCCCCTGCATCCCTTGCTTCCTCACCGTCCCTGCCTGCTTGCTTTATTTAGTCCCTCCGTAGGGCTGGTCTTCCTCCAAGCACTTTATACGCCTTAACTACTGCCCGGCTGCCCCGGCGGGAGGTCCTCTGCCGTGCAGACATGTTCCCACTGCCTTTCTGTGCCCTTGACTCGCTCTGTTTCATCCTGCTGCTGGGTCCGACCTGGGATTGTTTCGCTTAGAGAAGCGCTAACCCTCTCACCCCGCTGCCACGCAGCACCTGTGCCAGAGCGGCATCCTCCTTTTGGGCAGGTACTGCAGGTTCTTAATAAATCTTTTTACCAGGAAGTGGACCTGGTGCCTCTTGGTGCTGGGGGTGACCTGGGGGTGGCATTTGTTTCCCTTGAAATAGCGGGGACGTGGTTTTGAGCTGGGGGATGCAAAAGTGGTGTTGGGGCTGGAGTGGGAGCAGCGGTGGGGGATGCTGCGTCCAGAAGAGCTGAGTGTGAGCAGTCCCGAGGCTGGCTCCTGTGCAAGGGGCACAGCGGGGATCTGCAGGCGCTGCTTTCGGACACAGGGAGGGACACAGCCCCCTGCCCCCGGGGGGTATAGCCCACGCTGGGGGTCTCTGGGGGTGTTGC